GCTGATCTTCACACTGATGCTGCTCTCCAGTTCATCCACAGAGATCTGCATGTTTCACACAGTTTGTATCATTATAACTCTTACTGTACAATCTAAACAGTTAATCACCAGAGCAAACAGTTAGACGCAACACACACCACTTTCCGTAAATTCTGTTTATCGATTAGGCACTTTAACTATGAAAAGCTCTACCACTGATCCACTAAAAGCTCTTTCTTACCACATGCCACTGTCCATCATTGATGGCCTTTCCTCCGCTGGTGACTTTGAAGGTGTGCTGGTTTTTGAACTGGACTTCAATGCGTCCGCCTCTTAGTCCCAACATAAACCACGAGTCCTGCGAGGACTCGGCATACAGCACCACTCCCTCAGGGTCAAATGTGCGGAAATCAAACTCTGCTGCGAACCTGCCAAGAACATGAGGACAGAAATAAGAGTTTAGAGAGAATGTAAATAAATTGACAATACAATGTTGCAGCCCACTCACTTTCTAGGCATTTCCTGACTTCGTAATTTTCAGTAATGGAATTTACATAAAATATGTTTATTATAGTTCAAATGGGCTGAATTGGAGCCTTGAGCTGCATCTTGCAAACATCTAAATCCCAGCATCTCAATTATTAAAAAAATTCTACTTCTATCCTCATGCTAAATGGGGCAAATATCACTTCTTACTTCATTTAAAAAAGTACACTACATTATGTGTGTGTGTGTTTTTGGTAGCCTCTCACTTGGTGTTCTCTGGCAGACGGAAGCGCAGATAGATGACAGGAAGTCCTGCGAACTGCTCCCCCAGGTACAGCATCTCAGGGTGTCTGTGGTCATACAGCTCCACACAAACAGGGATACTCTCACAGTACCGCTGACCCTCGGCCAGACGAAGACCCTGACGACCATCACAGTGGCACGCATAACTGCCCACTGTGTTGATACAAGTCCCGTCACACACATTTAACAGGCACTCATCAATATCTGCAAAAAAAAGGAAGAGAAAGACGTATGAGCGGTGATCATTTGTACATTGGCTTTGGTAGCTTTATTGATTTGTGGACTTTCTGACAAAATGGCTCTTGGTAAGAAGATAGGAACAACAGATTGAAGTCTCACCGTTACAAGTTTTTGATGTGAAGTTGTATTTGAAACCCTGAGGACAGCTGCACTCAAACATGCCCGGCGTGTTGACACATTTAGCCGGTGCTTCACAGATCCCGGGGTACAGCAGGCATTCATCCTTATCTGGAAAAGAGTGACAATGGGAGTATTTGCGGCATTAATTAATTGCAAATGTGTTTGATTTGCAACTAACTTGTATGCTCCAAAAAAAAAAAATGTATATCAGTGTTTGCTTGAAACCTCATCAATCCTTGTATGGTCTCCTTAATCGTAGCAGCCCATCAAAAAGTAGAGGTCAAAATAAGTTTACCAAAATGACTCAGACCATGTTTGTGAAGACTTTGTACTCAACAAGCCCTAACACACACAAAGATAAACACATTGTGATGTCCCCAAACAAAATGGACGGATGGAAACGGGCCAACAATGGGAAAACAAGCATCTACAATCTATTAGCAAGTTTCACAGCTCAGAGATGTGATACTGGTGGGATTTTTACAGAAAAAAAGGATGGACCCTCTTTTCTGATGATAAAAGCTTTTTTTCATTCAGTTGCATAAGAGGTCACCTCAGGTCAGCTTTAGAAATAATAAATTCAGGCCCTGAGGACGACAGCTGGACAACAGAGGTTTTGTTATGAAGTGCGTAGGGTTCCACTGTCCATATCAAAAAATTAAAAGGAAGTTATCAAAAGGAAGAGGAAGAAACATGTGTTTGCTCAGCTGCTTAGTAGCACTATAGCACTATATGTCCCTCTTCCATAAGAACAGTAAAAACTGCTGGGTGTCTACATATATGTGCCATAAGAGCAACAATTACACAAACAAACACGCACACACTTTACTTTTCTGTCCTTTGGTTTGATTGAAAAAAGATTAATGGTTCATAACATTATTGCAGTTTAGGAGCACAAATTGCATCATAAATGAATGGAGACTTACCCCTGCAGTCGACCTTGTCATTGAGGAAGTAGCCATCTTCACACATGCAGTGGAAACTACCAGGTATGTTGTAACATTTTTGGTTGCATCCCGCAGGAAATTCAGGGTCTGAACACTCGTCGATGTCTGTCAAGTGGTCACATAACACAACAACATTTATCAGCAGCAGATATAGATAAAGTGTGTTATGTTTATGTCAGCCAAAAAGCACAGAGACGAGTAAATATTGAGAAGATGAACACAAATATTTAAAACCCTAAATGACGCATAACAACTCACCGTCTTCACAGCGCCGCCCCTTCCATCCAGGTTTACACTCACAGGTGAAGGTGGCCTGTCCGTCCACGCAGCGCACTGATCCCTCCTTGTAGCATGGAGGCGGTGTGCACTGGTCACTGATTCTACACACACACACACACACACACACACACACACACACACACACACACACACACACACACACACAACACACACACACACAACACACACACACACACACACACACACACACACACACCACACACACACACACACACACACACACACACACACACACACACACACACACACACACACACACACACACAACACACACACACACACACACACACAAACACACACACACACACACACACCACACACACACACACACACACACACACACACACACACCACACACACCACACACACACACACACACACACACACACACACACACACACACACACACACATTAATGAAAGCATTGACAAAAAACGTTCACAGGTAGGGAAACCTAAATAAGTTTCAAGGACTAACTGACATAAAAATGCATGTTCTACTAAAATGGCCCTCACCCTTCACACAGGTGCGGAGGTCTGATGGGATGGCGTCTGAGTTTGGGTTGTTGATGCCGACACGGTGTGAACCCAGGCACGCTGCAACCATTTTTTTTAATGTGTTATTAGAACAGACTGATAACTGCAAATTAAAGCTGATATTAAAACATATTAAGAGAAAAAAGGTGCAGACTTACCAACATATTTGGGGTAGAAGTATTCCTGGAGAAAAAGAGATTTAAAATTCACATTTATTTGACAAAAAGGAATGAAATATAAAGAAAGTAGGTTGCAGCCAGCTCTGTGCTGTGAAGAAATGCTCTGCTTGAAACAGAAATGTTTATAACTTTCAATTTATTCTTTCTCATTCCTTTTTAGAGGTCCTTTAGAATACATCTTCAACGATTAAAGTCGCAGAAAAAGAATGGCAAATTATTTAATAATTTGATAAATAATCAAGGTCATTTTTTATTTAAATGTGTCAGAATATGCTGTTTTAACCGCCTCATTTATGGAAATGGGCTGTTTCGTTTTATATCATTTGAAAGTGAATATATTTGGGTTAAAGACTGAAAGAAAACATTTGGAAACTCTTTTGACTTGTGTTTTAGTATTTCATGACATAAATCGACCAAAGAAAATTTACCCAGGCTCCCTGCCCTCAGCACATTGTGCTCCTCTCTCTCACCGTTTCCGGCGTGTTCTCAAAGATCTCCCTGGCCTCCTCCTTGTTGCACAGCTCCTCGATGCACTCCCTCTCCAGGTTGCCCTTCTTGCTCTCCTCAAACAGAGAGTTGGCTCTCCGGTGCCTGCTCAGGAACTGCGAGGCTGTGCTCTGGCTCAGGACTAGGGAAATATATGAGTATATGACAACACACACTCATAAAGATACACATTGTGCAGCTATAACAACACACACTGATAAAGATACACATTGTGCAGCCATAACAACACATAGGCCTACTCATTAAAATACACAATCTGCAGCTATATTTCCAATGTCAGTGCTTGCCATCACATCAATCAGAAGTGAACACAGCTGTTTACAGTGCAGTGATACTTTACTGATTAATACCAGCAGGCAGCTACAATATGACTGATCCCAGCAGGAATTACTGTCCTCATGACAGATGGCTGATACGGCTGATGCTTGCATGCACAAAGTTGACTACCACATTCTTTGAAAAGGCTTGAAAAAAAAAAAAAAAAGGTAATTGCGAAACCGTTACTTCCCAGAAATGACCCCCTAGTTGTTGTTGAGAGCAGCTCATGTTGTCCAAGCGTTGTTTCATAGTAATGAGACATGCCCCCTCACACTTTTTTGTCTGTTAGCTTAAAAAGTTATACCAAATCCTGAACTGGTCCCATCCAGAATGCAATCTGCGGACTGTAAACACACTGCAAAACGCAATTCCGTTAACTGCTCTCCAAGTACGTAGGGTTGAAAATTGCACACCGCAAAAGCCCAACAGTCGCATACTTACATCGATAAGCATCGACGAGCGTCACGAGAAATACGAGACACGCCAGGGAATCCCAAAGGTCCCGTTTCTTTCTCCACATAGTCGAGCTGTTCTTCCTGCTAGGCCACGGCTCCGACTAAAGACTGGCTGAGAGCAGGAAAAACCTTATTCTTCCCGAAAGTGTTTCCGTAGAGAGAGGGGGAGAGGAGGAGGCTGCCAGGAGAGCAGAGCAGGCAGCTAGGGAGCGCTGCTAACACACACACACGCGCGCGCGCACGTACGTGCACACACAATGAATCACACAGCAAACATGGGCCCTTTCTTTACACTCACAGGTGAAGGTGGCCTGTCCGTCCACGCAGCGCACTGATCCCTCCTTGTAGCATGGAGGCGGTGTGCACTGGTCACTGATTTCTGCAGTCAGTCAGTCAGTCAGTCAGTCAGTCACACACACACACACACACACACACACACACACACACACACACACACACACACACACACACACACACACACACACACACACACACACACACACACACACACACACACACACACACACACACACACACACACACACACACACACACACACACACACACACACAATTTGAACAGCTGGGACAGAAGTATTGAATCTGCACTTGCAAACTGTTTCTGCCAATTCATTTTAAGAGGACCTACATTACAGTTAAATTCAGGTGATTCACTGCACATGGTAGTTCACAAAAAGCCAATGGACAACATTGCATGCATGGGAAAATAGCTTCACATCATTTGGGAGGCATGTTTCTCAAATGTATTGTAGGCCTTTGACTTTTCATGGTGGGAAAAAAACCACAGGTGGAAGCAATAACAAAACTATTAAAGCCGTTATCCATTTGTTCCAATAAGCTATACCAAGAACATGTATATTTATTTATGCTATAATTTACATCTATGTACATCAGCTGTTATGTCAACATGTTTTCTGTGAATAAGTTTAAGAATAATTCATTCATAAAAGGCAACACCTGGACCCAAATAATGGACACAAACATCAAAACCTCTTGCCCGTTATCTGACTTATTTGATCTAAATAGCTATACTTGTTAAAACAAAATGAAAGTCTTGAGTGGTTTAGTTTCGAATTTGAACGACAAATGACAGACACCATGTTTGCATTAATATTGGTTTCATTTTGTTATTCAGGAAAAAACACATCACATTTTCACCATTCATTCAACTGTTTTATGTACACATAACAGGCTTTTTTTAATACTTTGAAAATATTTTTACAAAATACACTGTTCTCCCTTATATTAGGTTTATTTGAGGAATTTCACTGCAAAAGGTTAGCAGATGCGCGTTCATAATTTGAGGGGCTTATTGAGGGGTTGTTACAATTATTGCATGCTGAAACACCATTATTGCATAATAAGTCATTCCTTTGTGGGATTCCGGGTAGAGGGTTTGTCGTTAATGTAACTGACATTAACCCCCCCCCCCTCTCCCCAGCCGATGTTTCTGGGAAGGTTTTTCAGAAATGATAAATAGGATTACCAAATTAGGGATGAGTGACAGAAATGTTTGGTGGCTTATACTTCAGTCGCAAAATAACACACGCAGTGCTGAGTTTCATAAACCTGAGGAGAGTTAGTAACACTCACCAAAGTTTAGAGGTTACAGCTGCTCTCTTAATGTGTCATCAATGTGAATAACTGTGTTACATACATAACATGAGTGGAGAATATATTGGCAAAGGTTCCTTGAGATGGAACAGTGGTTCTATACAAGAGGAAAGAGGAGATGTCAGGCCAGAGTACTACACTCTTCAGTATAATTACAGGCAGTGATTTTCTCTTTTTAAGAAGTTTTGAAGTGGGACTCTCTCCACCTGTAACACTGGGGTAAATCAATTGGCAATTCAACCCGTCATGTCACTCACATATGCACATGCCGACAAATGCACGCTCACAAACACACATATATACGCAGAAACGCACACACATCTCAGTCATTCGGTTCAGATACACAGCAAATATTTCTGTATGAAGACAAAGATAGAAAACAGAGTCAAAGTGTTGAGAACCTTCCTTCCTTTAGTTCAGAGATCAACACGTTTGACAAAGAAAAATATGTCATTGGAATAATTGCTTTACTGTTTTTAAAACAGTATCAGTTTATAAAAAAACATATCTAAACAATGATTTTTTTGTTTGTTTTTCAAAAAGAGAATTTAAAAAAAGTGATGACTGGCACTGTTTAGGATCCTGTGATCACTAGAGCACACATGAGGCTATTGAACCAGGTACTTTTTTGTGTAAAATACAAAATTTGTTGTGGTTTGTAGTGACCTGGTCGCACAGAAGTGACTGTGCAGGCTACATACAATGTGACTACAACTATACTTCACATGCACTGGTTTTGGCGAGAGTGAGTGCTGATGAATATCAATGCCAAAGAGAGTGGTTGCCTTTGGGAAGCGTAGAACATAACACGACTGGTTCACAACGATAAATCCCGTACCTTCAACAGATGTTGGGGTGCTGAGCGCTAAGATTCACAGCAGGCAGTTTCTCAGAGGAATGCATATAAATAGACTTTCAAATACAGGGTGCAGCTTTTCCAAAGTAAGACCGAGCTAACTCACTAAACAGAAATGAACATTATTAGGCAGCCAACAGGGCAACACAACCAGTAACACACTATCCATTTCACAATCATAACTGGAGACAAGACTGGTTAAAAAGTTAGTATATCAGTTAATTAGAAGTAAAGCTAAAAGCTGTCCGTGTTGATGAGCTGTGCAAACATATGGTTTATGCTCTGTGATGGATGAAGGGATAGTTTAGCTTGAACATTTTACTAAGACAGAGTGAAGCAAACATATCGTGTCTGCATGCAGTTTGTGTGTTGAATGAATGCTTATCGTAGCCAAGGCTCAATAAATGGACATCGGGAACAAATATCGGCACCTCTTGAAAGCAGCAAAATACACTGTATTTGTATGAAGCTGCAAATCACTTATATGTATCCACCATCAATTTGTGTGCATGTTAACCATGTTCAGGCTACCAACAGGCAACTGGCCAAGGTGGCAAATCGTTTCTGGTAAATTAAAGTTATTCATTCCAAAATGTGTTACACTCATTGGCCACTTTATTATGTATAGCTAAAAGCAATCAAATATAACTTTTCTTCCATAAAGACCACTTCCATTATGACTATAACGTTCAGGCTTTGTGACAACATCATGGATATGTTACTAAAGTTATATGAGTATTATTGAGGTCATAGTAAGTGATGGTGTTGTTCTGGAGTGCGTTGTATTCAGAGATGTTTTTTTTCTTCCAAATCAAATGATGAAACATCAATTATATCTAGTCCAGAACAACACCACCATTAACTTCTGCCTTCTATAATAAACAATTATCACTGACAATGTTACACAAATGTAACATCATTAACTGAGTAAAGGTTGAATATTTCAAAGAGACACTTGATCTATCTACTTTATTGTCCTATTGTGTCTAATAAAGTGGCCACTGAGTGTATTATGTATTATTTCTTTCAGTATATATTTGTACTTTTACACAAATGTAAAATTCAAAGATTGTAAACAGGGGCCCACAGCAAACACATTTTTACCATGAGCCTCTGGTGGGTAATATGGCCCTGATATCAACCCAAAACGACGACTAAATGTTGACATGATCTATTTTCTTTGGTCATAGAAGGAGTTTATAACTTAATAGCTATCCAGTGTATTTTGTCCTACTTAAAAAAGAGAAGCTTCATTTTAACACCCTTAAGGATAAAAACATAACAATGATACATGGATTTGTGTACAGGTACAGGTTACTGTTAAACAGGAGCATGACAAGGCTTCAAACGAAACGAGTAAATGTGAACCCTTAACTTCCGTTAGCACATGGATGATGAGGATAAAAAATACGAGATAAAAGTGATTGCTAACATTGACAAAATCATGCTGCTCTTGGCTGTGCTTGGTCCCAACAATCCCTTGTGTGCCCTCGACCTTCACAACCTTCCTGAGGAGGATGGGGACAAAAATTAAACACCACTCAAAAAAGGGAAGAATTACAGTCCTTCCTTACTCCCTTCCTTCTGGAGTGAAATACAACGGAATATTTCAACATATCAACCATTAAAATAACAAAATACAAATAGGATAAAATAAGCTTTTGAAAGTGTGCTGCGAGGCTTGTTCATCCATAGATTTGGAGGCGATTAAAGTGCGTACTGGTCACTGCCAAAACTGTCCAGTGAAAACGTTTGTTCTCTCGTCAGATCACAGACAGGAGACCCTAATATATGTGGGTATGATTATGTCTTCATCGTATCCCTCCTTTCCTCCACAACCCATTCCTTTTCATGCTCATCTGAGGTCTGTTCTCCAGATTTGGAGTGATGCATCTTGAAACATTGGCCAAAAACAAAGTCCATCTGCACAGCGCCCTCAGTCTGGTATTGACTTTTAAAAATAACTTTCCTTAAAGCTGATCAAATAAATGTGTCATTTGACACTTGTTTCCAAAACAGCATCACTTGCTTCCGGAAAAGTCTTTAAAAAAGTGATATCTTGCCCTTCAAGGCTTGGATACATTGCATTGGAAATAAGTGAAATGATCTCACGTTAATTAAAACCTTATTTTAAGGAAACGTTAAGTTTTAAAACTGAATACTTGACAAGGAGCATTGTTAAGATGTTTTGCAGTGAAGAAAAATATGCTGGTTCTGGGCATCATAAAAACAGTGCGCAGGGCTAGATGGAGTAGGTGGAGCTCTCGGACTGCTGGCGGATGTAGCACTGAAAACTCTTGTCTCCAATCGGATGCTCCCTGAGGACACAAAAAGAAACATGTTTTTCATTTGGTGTCAGGAGGTATGGGGCTGAAAATAGAACAGAAATAACAAAATGTCTCTGTCAAGATAATTAGGTGCTGGCGGCCAAAACTATGATGCCAATATTGTGTTATTTAAAAAGTGCTTTATATAATCTCTGACACACTTTGTACTTGTTAATAACAGGCCGTTGTGATCTGTCCCATCTGCTGGCCCAAAGGGGGAAATTATTGAACTACAGTTTACACTTAACATGTTTTCCACAGTTCTCAGCCTCCATTGAATTGAATTACAAATACAAAACAGTAGTTTGCACGTACTGGCTTCCTATCTTTGTCTTCTTGAACTTGTCGCGTTTGTACTTGGTGTGCTGCTGCTCCAACGTCTGCACGGCTGAAACAATCAGTTTCAGAGTTTTGTATGTCTCCTGGGGGTCATCGATGACAAAGGTGGAGTACTCCTCCAGTTCGGGCCCGTCGTACACAGACTTACTGCCGCAGGCCTCTGCAGGGGAAGACAGCAGAGTGAGGATAAATATGGAAAATATGCAACCTGCTCACAAACACTTAAAAACACTGAATCATCTACTGACCTTGCATCTTGATCAGTTTGGTCATGTATGTGCTGAATAGGGAGTAAATCCTCTCCGTCTCCCTGTCTCCATCTACGTCCAGCTGGATGTTTGCTGGAAGGCCTCTGAAAACAGATGCATACAGGAGGATGAGAGCGTGGAAACACAGGAAAGGAGCACGATGCTGGATGGATTTTTGTCAGCTTTACATACCCGGTGCAGGGCGTACACCCGGGCGCTGTGTCTGCAGACAGCTTGCAACAGAGCCAGTGGCCGTTGAGGTAGGCTGAAGGATGGTAGGTGCTCAGGCGTTTGCGGTTACACTGGCTGACTTTGGTCAGGATGTCGATCCAGTCTCGTGCTTCTACGCAATTGTTGGCCTGGATGTAGAGCGCTCGTTCTGGCTGAATAACCTGGAACATCTGGAGGAGGGAAAAAGGGACAGCAAGTGAGGAAAGAACCTAAAAACATGTAGGAATGATTTGGGCCAAATGTGCAAAGCTCCAGAGATGTCATGGCTGTGTGTGGTCCTTACATTTTTCATCTTGAAAGACTCCTCCTCGAGCCTCTCTACAGCCAGAATGTTCTCTATGGGAATGCTGCACAGAGCGCCCTCACCTGGACATAAAAGGAAATATACATCAGACATGAAATAAAAGTAAAGGATGTAAGATAAGGTAAGATAAGATAAGATGTACTTTATTAATCCCAATTTGGGAATTTCTTTCGTTGCAGCAGCATAAAACAAACCAAGGCATTGCACATAATAAAAAATTAAAATAGTAGAAATAAACAATTCTAAAATTATAAACATCTAAAAATAGAAATAGAAATAAACCAGCATTAGAGAGTAAACAAATATACAGGTTTTGCTGTGTGATAATTACATTGATTAACTTGAAGTAATACAAATAGATGCTTTGTTAATCTGCCATTTCTTTGTGAAAGGCATTGAAGAACAACAGTGTTTATCAAAAGCACAATAAAATGTGTTTTTTTTAAAAAGTTGTGCTGTACACTGACTAATTTGAGTAAACTTGATTTCATCACTTTCTTATAACCTCTTGTTTTGCTTTTATGTAGTGTAGGATAGGATTTAGGAAACAGCATGTGTGCGTGTTTTGGCCTGACCTTGTTTGTATGCAGCACAAATGTATTTCCTGCAGTAACCTAATCTTCACCACATGTGTTAAACGCACATTTTGTTCAAACTGTACATTCAGCAGATTCTGTCCCTTCTGCTTACACAAGCACACACAACGACAGACGAGGAAACAATGAGACTGAAGGAAGATCCTGAGAAAGATTCAAGCTCACCTTTCGTCTTGTGGTAGGTAAACTCGTGGTTGGTGAGGCGAAACCATCTCTTCTTGAAGTTCTTCATTCCGAACCGGTTCCTCCCTTGTGCCCTCTTTATCATAAATCTGAGGAAAATGAGTGAGAAACATACCAATGAAAGACTTGACAGATGAGCTCATGGTTCACAGAAATACAAAATATATCACAATATCAATATTGTTATTAATCTGGCACAATGCATCCTATATATAGACATGTCTTAAGTGCTGAAATAGTGCAGTACCTTGATGGATAATAATGTAAATGAATGACTTTGCATAAAAACACGTGTTACCACCATTTCATTATTTTTAAAGGAATCCTGTGCGGTTTACATTCATCATTCAGTATACATGCTTGCAGTTACTGTCACTGTAAATCATTTTGCATGTTTACCCGATTACCTACAAATTGTGTACCAATATTTTTTTACCAAATAATAACGCACAATTTTAAATATGTTTCTTTACAAACAGCTACTGGCTACCATTTTCTTTCAGTACCTTATAACACATTAACTTGCATAGACTTGAAAAGATAATCTGCAACTGTTTTATTAATATAGAGTGATTAAGGCATTTAAAAAAAAAAATGTAAAACAACCAGTATGGTCTTTAAGGGAAAGAAAACACCAGGATTTGTAATTTATTGAAAGGTCCCATGACATGCTTTTCTGGTTATTACCCGTCCCCTTGAGTGTTATGTAGCTTTTTATGCATGTCAACGGTCTGCAAAGTCAGAAACCCTCAAAGTACACCCTGTAGCGAGTAAAACTCTAACACAGAAAAGACCTGTCTATGCTGCCCCAAAACGCCTCGTTGGAGATTTTTATTTTTCCATTTTTTTTCTTCCTGGTCTAAGTGACGTAAGGGTCATAGTGCCGTAACACACACACACATCTTTTCTCAGCCGCGGTTCTGCGGATTTCACACACACACACACACACACACACACACACACACACACACACACACACACACACCACACACACACACACAACACCACACACACACACACACACACACACACACACACACACACACACACACACACACACACACACACACACACACACACACACACACACACACACACCACACACACACACACACACACACACACACACACACACACACACACACACACACACACACACACCCACACACACACACACACACACACACACACACACACACACACACACACACACACACACACACACACACACACACACACACACACCACACACACACACACACACTGAGTTCCGCTGTGTCTCGCTGTCTCGCAGACCCCACGCAGCAACCAGGAAACGACACCAGTAATCCACCTCACACTGTCCGCTCCTCGAGCCTCAAAGGGCGGAGCAGCGAGCCCCACAACGTCCCGCCAACACGGCACCCAGACCCCACGCAGCATTTTCATCTGTTTGTCATTACTGGTGTCATTTTCTGGTTGCTAACAAACGCCATTGTAACACATAATCACTGATGTTCCGCTGTAACGGTGGTGGACTCATCAGAACAGAGTGGGCGAGCAGACCAATCAGAGCACACTGGGCTCATAGGGAGGGGGGGGCAGGAGCTCCAACAAGCCATTTAGGACAGAGAGTGAATACACATACTATACAGAGATGCTGTATGAGAAACCAATGTGAGTTTGGAACATTGAACAATGTAAATCTATTCTAGTAGACCTCAACAATGGAATTATGATCAGTAGAAATGGCCATGTCATGGGACCTTTAACAGTTTGAGGGCCATTGCATACATGGAATAGGAAACACCAAAGTTACAAGTGTCAAACAGGAAGACTTTTCTACTGAGCTGCTGGTTTCACATCTAGAGAGTACCGGGAACTCTATGTGTATGGTAGCGATAGGAAAAAGACTGAAAAAATAGATAATAAAGCTTCCATGAACACACAGTATAATATTATTATATCACCACCAGTGACATTTCCAGTATAAAGCTAATAATGGTATGCGCAAAACGTCACCACTAGTACAGACTCAATTTTTCTGGTCTTTGACATATTTTCTGCCGAGCGCTATAGCATGGATCTGCATGCATGCTTTTGTAAAAAAAAGTTGTTATGGCAGCGATATGGTCACAGTCTGGACAAAAGGTATAAACGGTCAGGATGCGGGCAGATTTAAGATCCCAGAAATGTTTGTACAGCAACCAACCCCTGCTGTCACCATCACACCAAGCATGTCTGGCACGTCAAGGATCGAGGTGGGCTACCAGCACTAGTGATGGCTGAAGGCTTTAAGGTTAACACTTTACTTCATACAGTCACTGAACGCACCAGTCCACTGCCTAATGCAGAAAGACTCAAATCCATCACTCAGTGTCAAACAGCCAGAGAGTGACAGAGAGTTGCTTACAGGCCAGATATAAAGTAAAGTGCAGCAGCATCTACAGCAGCGTATGATGTCGGGGGGGAGAGAACACGGCCGGCTTGGTTGGGGGGGGGGGGGGGGGGGGGTTTACAGTGCAAACACAGGGGGTCACAAGGGCAAAGCCTTTATATTGAGAAGCTCTTACCTGCCCTTCGTGCTTTTTGACCCTTTCCCATCAATCCTCTTTATAGTGAGTTTTACACTCCTATGCCCGGTAGCAGAAACAAAAGAGGGTGGAGGATGTTGATAAAGAGGCCGGCACACCTACTGTCAACTGGAAACTCTCCTTCCCTTTACACCCTCATTAGAAATATAATCAAAACAACCACCCATGTGTTGTTGGAGGAGTTTACAGCCAAGGGTTTGTCTATACTGTAACTGTTCACTTTGGTCATGAAGATAAGATTGACACCACTCTCTCGTATGTACTGACAGATATCATCCAGCTATGTTTGCTCAGCATAAAGACTGGAAACAGCTAGTGTGGGTTAGGTTTCCAGTTGCCAGCATTACATTACATTACATGGCATTTAGTTGACGCCTTTATCCAAAACGACTTACAATAAGGAATTCAAGTTCACCGATAACTATCTAGTTTGTTTAACAAAACTGTCAAAGTGAAAATCTGCAGTTTAGGAGATTATGTGCCAGACTATTTCCTCTTTCTTCTGAACAGTTGCCAGGCCAATGGCAGACACACCACAGATACTGGTTTCAGGTCAGTCAAGTAAATGGCTTAAATCACCTCATAACACAGAGGGTACTGTAACCATTTTTACACTTTGGTTTTGGCACTATTTAAACAAAGAATACAAAATGTGTGTCATAAGTTACCCGTGTGCCTGCCATAGCTACATACAGACATGTGGGTATTATCGAATTCCTGCTATATAGTGAATACTTCCCAAAATGTTGAACTATTCCTTCTTGAAGCATTAATTGTCAACCTAACTCTTTAAAGCTATAATATAACGTGCCAGGAGAACCTTAATAGGATGGTGAAAATAAAAAAATTAAAGCTGCTTAATTAGCAGTGAAAAGGAAATAGCCACAGTTCATAATACAGTTTTAATACAATTACAAAATCCTAAATTACTGCTTCATAAACTCTCTAAATGATTCCAATATCACAAATAAAGGACTCGTGAGAGCTGTTAGTACATTTTGTTTTTGGGCCGTTACTTTCCATGAATCTTGGTTTAATAATATGTTGGCTACTCACCCCTCTTTGAGCATGATTGGAGTCTCAATACTCTTCTGATCCCATTTGCCAGAGGTGGAGATCAGGTCCAGGAACTGTGTAGGAAAGTAAAGGATATGATATAACAACATGATTACTCTGGTACTAACTTTGGCTCCATTTCATGCAAATGTTACTGTTCTTACAAATGTCTAAACTGAGCCGGCATATCTTTATCTGACATACAAGACAAAGAGAATATTTCATGAGTCTACAAAGTGCTGGAGATTTATTGCATGAAACAAGGGAGGAAGTCGAACACTCACATTCTTCACAGCGTCCGCATATTTCTGCTCATTGAAGTACTCGTAAAATGCGGCCATGTAAGACTCTTTGAAATTGGCCTTGAAAGGAATTAGAGGTAGGGAAAGAAAGAGACAGTGAGAGGAAGATTAGTACATTTCAATTTCATTTTTTAGACAGTAATACAAATGAAGCCTAGTTCAGTTACAGGAGTGAAAAAAGGAAAATACACTTTACTCAGAGAAACGTACAGATTTAGACTTGGCAAGACTTCCCAGGGTCTGGATCGTCTTGGAGATGAGGGTTAGGGTTCGAGAGGTGGCGGGATCCTAGGAAGACAAATCAGATCTTGAACATTTCACACTTGAGTTCATCATAAAAAAACACTGGATGGGCCAGAAAAACAAAGAGATGTCTTCAAAGTCAATACAAACTTTGAGCTTCACAGGAAAAAAAAGAATTTAAAGAAAATGTTAGGACAACTAAAAGAGGTATATCTGCACATTTAGGTTTCATGTACAGTATGTGTGTTATTTGATATCAGACTCACTGGATGGTGCGGCCGTAGATGGAACAAGTTGGGGGAGAGGATGGCCGGAGCGAAGAAACGCAGGAAAATAAAACTGCTTACTGCTGTGTATCGGACATCTTGGTCAACTAGACAGAAGAAAGAAATAGGGATTTATCACACACACTGTACTTGCTCAAAATATACCCAAGACATGATATGTATAGTAAATCTGCAATAGAAAAGTCAACTTTATTCAATGAGATGTCTCAATTCAATACAAAATAAGTTATTTGTGTTAGCTTATAATTAACCAACAATAGATTTGTATCACAACAGCATGTTCCTCGTGCAAAACTGCAGATCCCTGTGATGGCCAACAGGGGGCAGCACAGGGTAAAATACTCCATACTGCACATACTGTATAACCAAACTGAGTGTGTGGGAGGCTTAAGTGTTTTCAGGTTTGACACAAATAGCAGAAAAACAGAGAGTGTCCTTAAACTTATTGCACATAATGTTCTTTATTGCCTATTATCTGTCTCTAAATAGCACCTATTTTCTGTCTTATATCTCTTATGGGCCATTAGCAGGCAGTTACCTTGGAAACGGGTGGCAGCGGACTCTCTCAAAGAGAAGAAGATATCACACATGACAGTGGGACAGCGAACGCCTGATGTGGTGATAACGTTGAAGATACGGTCCACATAGTGGCGAAGATTTTCCTGGAGACGGGGGGCAGGGCAGATATGTCAGATAACACACACACACACACTGCACAAACACATAAACACACTCATCTTCTTACCCTGTTAGTATCCAGGTTCTCCGACTCTTTGAGCTTGACCGGGTCGATTTCACAGGGTTTGTGTTCTGCGCAGATCTGTGAAGATTTACAAAAGTAGTGATGTATCCATTGATGACTGATTAAGCAAAATATTCTAAGAGGTGCTACAGAGAAAGCTTTGTGACATGAATGAAATCAAGAGTAAGATTGGCAGTGTCATACCTCGTCTATGATTGGTCTGAGCGTGACTTGCAGATAATGCATTCCTGCCAGCTTCATGGTCTCATCAATGCACTTGGATGTCAACGAGTTTCCCCGGAAAATTGTGTTAGGATCCCTACGCAGAGAGACAGGGTGTTTTTTCCATACAAATCAAAACAGCAGTTTAGTAAAAAAACGATACATATATAAAGGGAAGAGACTTTTAAACAATATAAGAGAGAACAATCAGGATTAGGAGCACAAAAGAGCAAACTTAAACTTAGAGAGTTGTTTAATCTATAATAAAGGATGAGACTAATGCACAGCTGGACTGTCAGGTATAACTTTATGAACTTAATTGTAAATGTTATAAGTAATCATTGTTGAGCATTGATTCAGGGACACTTACTGTGTGCGGTTGACTTCAGCGTGAGCGATGGCGCTGATGAAAGGCACAATCTTGCCGTAGTGAAGAAACAGACGCACGAGGGGAATGGCGGCTTCTTGTTTCTCTCGACACACCTCCCCCAGAGTGTGAGCTGTGGACGACGATACAGGCTGGACAGAGAGGAGCAGAGTCAACATGTACCATTCAAACAGTGAGGTGTGAAGATGCTGCAGGAAACCGGAGACACTCGTATACACACACCTGTACATTAGCGGAGTGCAGCAGCAGATCTCTGAGGGGGGTGTAGTGTTCGGAGGGGAACACGTGGTCCTCGGTGTAAACGATGTTCAGACGCAGAGAGCCAAGCTCTTCCACCTTCACCGACTTCCCTCCGTTCTCCCTGGGCTGAAGAAAGTACCTGAAGGAGAAAACATACAAAAGATCAGACCAACAGTTCTGCTCACTGATGGGATTGTGATGGATGGGAGACAATTGTCTTATTTACTACAGCCATTAAATAGTGCTAACACATAGCAAGCTAAGCAAATCCACATTTTTCTATAAAGGTGTTGGTAGTCGCAAAAAACACCACTAAGAAGTACTACACAACTCTGCAGTTTCAGTCAGCTCTACAGATCTTTTAAGCATCTTTAAATGGTATTGTCTTAATGTTTTGGTTTTCAGGCAACCAACCCAATTGTTGTGGTTCACTCTCACTTCCAGCAGATATGTCCCTAAACAGTTGATGGAGAACAAATCTGAGCTACGAGAATGAATATTGTAATTACATTTGTTGGGGAACTCCAAGTGAAGGCTAACGTGTTTCCGTGTTAACTGGATTTGCTAACAGGCAACTGTTCACCTTCTCATTTTAAAAAGGCCATAATGTGTTAATGCTGTGCTAAGACTAAGAGCTTTGCCGAAAAGAACAAGATAAAGCAGGTCTAACTGTCACATAGATATTGATAATTGCTAAATATATTCTCTTTATATGTTGTTCCTTTCTGTTACGGACTGCACTGACTACTCAATGTTCATTCTCTTTGTTAACATTTCCAACAAAGTGCTCCCACAACCAATGGAGGCTCTAGTTATTCAAAAGAAATGAAATACAAAAACAGTCTGTTGGATCAGCTATTTGTTAAAAAGCCTTCACTGATCCTGGTTAATTAAAAACTTTAAAAAAAGGACTGTTGTCCGTGTTGATACTACAGCTCTGCTGTTGCTGTAGCAACACATACCCAGAAAGTCAATGGACAATGATCATTGAATCAAACACACCCAGCCCCAGCAGGGTACAGTGGAACAAAACCATAAAACACATCAAAATGATTGACCACACTCTGTCAATCATTTTGATGTGTTTTATGGTTTTGTTCCACTGTATGTGACGATGTAACGTGTGTGTGTGTGTGTGTGTGTGTGTGTGTGTGTGTGTGTGTGTGTGTGATGCTCCTCTCACCACGCGTCGTGGACCCCAGCCTGGCCCAGCGCGCGCAGAGGAACTCGCACCCCCCCCAGGAACTCATCCCCGAACTTCAGGTTGCTGGCGTTCCACAGATCCACCCTGAACACAAACCAAAGGGTACAATTTAAACATGGGAAACTTTTTAACAAACCAAACTATTCAAATCCCCTTAAGGCTGCCAATGGCTCACCTTAGTGCCAACTTGTCAACATCCTCTTCTTCTACATCAAATTGACGCTTTGTGTAGCTTAATGGCCGTGTCACCTAGAAATGGAGACAGAGTAAACGATTAGAAGTCACATTTTATCCCAAAAAAACAAGCTGGTGAAAGCACATACAGTATTGTTTCAGTCATGGGTTTTAGCTTCTCAAATGAGAGGATCACTTATTTTTCATCTACCAGTATATTTATTGATACAAAAAAAACAGACAATAAGATTTGGCATCCAGTTAAAGCGTGCATTAAAGGAAACATTGGAATTTCTGAAATCCTGGAATTGTTTTTCTTTCTTTCTGTCCCTGTGATTAACATACTTTTCAGAGTGAGAGAACGCCACTCTTCTTGACCCACATCATGCTTACACATTTTTATATTTATTATGTACCGTTTCCTTTTTTTGCCAAATCTAGTTGTTCATTTTGATTGAAATTATTAGTTGAAAAACATATTTAAAAATGGCCCAAATCAAACTCTAAACTCACTATCTGACAGATTTGGATCCACATGGGAGCCATCAGAGATCAGAATGTGGCAGTGTCTATGTTAGTATGGAGCAATGAGAAGATACAATTTGAAACAATTAAAAACAGGGACAACCACATGACAAAAGCATGATAGATGGTCTCTGTTTGCGTGAGGACAGGGCCTGAAAGGGGTCCGCGGGCAGAATGCTCCGCAGGGTATGAGTCCTGTTCCTGTGGTGGTCGGGAATAAATGAGACAGTCTTGTCGCATAGAAATAAATGGGCTAGATTGTTTGGTGGTTTGTCCGAATCAATCATACTCTTGTCCTGCTGTCTTCCAGCGCTGCAGCAGGGGCCATAGGGAGGAGCGACACAAAAATGTCAGAGCAGTGTAGCTGGGGAGCGAGGGTTAACGGGGGCAGTGTGACAGGGAGGGTGTGTGTGCAAAAAAATATCTATAAATATAAACTCATGAATATGATAAAATGTGAACATTGACACATTCAGTGAAAGACTGCATGAATTTATGTTTTTCCAGTTGCTTTTTCTTATAATTTCAACTTTTATCACATTAATTTTAACCATTTAAAAATAATGACATGAAATGGAGATTGTAAGTGTGTCTATGTGTGCACAAGACATATATATATATATATTGACTAATGATAGAAATATGAATTGTGAGATTTTTAACAAAGACAAACTATATATATATATATCACACAAAACTATTATGCAGTGTTTCCAGTTAACTTTTTTAACCTAAAACCTGGCATGGTTAAAAAACCTACACAATATATATGTTTATTTGGGATGTCTGATTTTCAAAAATGTTTTGCTTAACTGTTACCTAGTTTTACCAAAATGACTCGACCAGTCCTGGTTATATTAATTCCTTTTTTGGTCTGTTTGGTGGTTATTGAAGGCTCTGTACCAGTGTATTTCCCACCTATGCTGGTAATTTCGACCTCTGAAGTTGGATGGGGCTGTGCTAGAATTATATAAAAATAACTCAACAATGAAATATGGTTGTATAGTTCAGCTTTCACATAATTGTTTTAACCCTCACTATACCTCTACTTGGATTGATACCCAACATAAAGACACATCTTTACACTGACGTGAAGTTGCTGTTAAACAAATCACACCAAAATATTTACCTCAAAATAGAAAACCTCGTCAAACTGTGGGTTGTTGGTTTTCCTCTTCACTTTCGTCTTCTTGGCTTCCGACCTGAGAGATACAGAGAGGCAGATGGAGATTGCAAAAATACATGTTTATTAGAAATCAAACGTGTGATAAACAAAGTTGAGTACGGTAAAATGACATCTAATCATGTGAGAGATCTTACCTTGAAGGGCCGAGTAAGGACACAGCAGCGTACGGATCACATTGGCCGTTAACGATAGGAAGACCTTGGCACTCCAACACTCTGTGGAAACACACACACAAACCATGAATGAATCACACATTAATGTACAAATGTAGACACACACATGTATCATATCAGGCAACCCATTAAACCGCCCCCTTTTCACAGACATAAAACATCTGGTCCATTCACACTCTAGTTCCCTCCTACGCTGGGAGTCTTGTTAATACATTTGGGACCAAGTATATAGCTCTCTGAGAGTTTTCCCAGCAAGTGAAAATGGTCCCCTGCATCAATATGAGGTGTGTCTGTGTGTGTGTAAGAAATGCCGATGCTGAGAGAGGGGCAGATGAAAAGAGATGGAGGGAAGTAATTCCCTTTGAGCTGTTGGCGGTGAGTTGTGCCAACTGTAAATCCAGTGTGATCCAGCAACTACACACACGGCACAAACACCACTTGAGAGAGGCCGAAGAGAAACTAAAATAAAAAGCTGAGACCATATCCTCAGACTTCTGACTCTATGACAGACAGAGCAGACTGAGCATAAGGGAGATACGGTTCAGGTAGGATGTAATCCTCAATGTGTTTCCAGAATAGGATTCAAACATCCCTGATCAACAAAAAAAGAAAAGCAGCATAACGTTTTTCTTTCTGGTTTCTTTCTGGTTCTGCATAGATTCCTGCATTTTAAGATTTCTGCACAACCATACATTACAATTTAAACAATATGCTACTTATGCTTTTAAGGGTGTCTTGACACCCTTAATGTAGTATAACGTATGCATACAGAAAACATAAAGTTCTAATATGGTGTTTTCTGAAAAGGAATAGCAGATTCTTAGGAAGACAGAGGTGGTAAAACAGATATTTCACTGTCACACTGTAAAGTGACGATTACACTGAATAGAGGATCATCAGTGTCTGAATGTATAGCCGTTATTCAACAAAATCCACATCCCTCAGAAAACGGGTTTACTATCACATGCTGATTTAAAAACAGATACAAGTAGAGAATTAGGGTGACATCCATGCGTTCCTGTGATGGATGACATCATGCTGTAAGGGGATTAGCACCCAAACAGACCAGGGTTGCGGTCGAATAGTCCATTTAGCTTAGGAACCTTCCTAACGGAGTGAAATGACCCGGAAGTCCCTCAGTGGCAGCCATGATAAGTGCCGTTAGAATTCTCTAAATGAAAGGAAAGGAGGTTTCAAACTTCCTTTATAACCTCCTTTAGCCTAGGAACCACTGGACCTCCCTCGCTGAAAGGAGAGGAGAAAATGCTGCCCCACAATGCCTTGCGGCCGCCGCATTTGCCATCACACAACAGTCGGCCGTTCACGGAAACAACCGATTATGAACGAGAAATGATATCATGAAAGTTACGGTGCTTATTAAACGTATGTGGTAAGTTGCCAAAGTGCTTTGTTTTGAACGTTCATCAGTATTATAATCAAAAAGAGAAATATGAACGTTAGTTTTTACTGAAATGATCAAATAAAGTCAACATTTCACAGTCTTTACTGAGCTGTGTGGGGTTTGTTCAACTTTTAAAATATGTTTGAATGGTGATATACACAGTGATAGATGTTAAGGACTAACGTTTATAATAAATACATTTGTATTGATTTTAAGATCTTTTCATACAGTCATACGTATTGGGATCATTTGTATTAATGTGGACCGGAGGGAGAGGGTGACGAGCATAAGTTTCACTTTCCTTGTTTATTTCAATTCCAACTTTGGTCATGAAGAATATGTTTCTCTGTTGTCCCCGTTCATAAAGCATAAAACAACAGCATCAGAGCACGGTGCAGAGTCTCTAGATGAGTTTACAGTAGTCCCTCGTTCTTATTAAACATCCATGTTGTAGTCCGCTGTATAGAAAACTGTAGTTTCCATAGTTTCCCCACAGCAGCAGACGCACATTTATGACCTCCGCTGGCGCATCATAAACACGTCGGATAGTGAAAGTGCAGTCGGATTCTCTAAAGTACCGCAGTCTCTTCTCCTAAATCCTTTTGAATTCTCCTATCCACTATCCCTTAACCCCATGACGTTTCACTCAGAGGTTAAGGAATAGACGATAGGGTTAGAACTTAGGAGCTGATTTTTTGACTATTCGACCGCAACCCAGGACACCAGCGGGGTGAATCACTTCCTGTGTGCCAGGGTGATGCACAACTATTCACACCCCCGCTCCCACCGTATGGTGAATTACACACACCAAATCAATGCACTGCCCCCAGCTGAACTGACTACACAAGCAACAGCTTGCACCACGCTGCTGATACACACCCACACACAGGTTCCTAACAAGGAATAAGGAGAGGGCTGGGTTAAGCATCACTAATGCCAGAGCGCTTCCTGTCCAATAAGCTTGTTTATATAACCCCTGCTTGGCCTACTCTCCAGCCCCCCCCCCCCCCCCCCCTTTCTCTCTCATCACCACTGTGAGCTCTGACAGGCCAGACAGCGGTGGTGAAGCAGACTTTGTTGTTTTTAGTCCACGTTCCTCATTTTAGGTTAATGTGTTTCTATTCTGCACCCACGTGACCTGTCAAAAACATTTTGACTCAAGTAAGAGGGAAATTAATGACCTCATAGGGCCAAAACCACACACAATAAAAGCAGATGTTATGATGAGTTTGTGTCACTGAGGGGTGCACTCTTACAAATAAGTTAAATTAAACATAAATCAGAACAGTAAATAGTATGTTTAGGTAAAACATGTTTCTTGTTTCCAGATGTAATTCACGGTTACAAAATGACCTATTCTTCTGTCTGTCAGTATTTTTAACTATTGGAGGAAGTATTTAGATGTTTTAAAGTTACTCTAAGCTATATTGTAAAAATGCTCAATAGTTAGAAACCTACATTCAACATATTAATGGCATGAACACGTTTTTCCTGATAGCAATAGATAATACCTACACCTCCTGTGTTTAGATTGGTTATCTATAAACCAGAGAATATGAAGATTGGATTAACAGCACATGGGAGATGTATCTACAGCCAAAGGAAAGAGGTTAGCGCTTTTCTCTGTAGCTATCGGTAGCTAACCCCAGTTACCAAAGAGCTCAATGAAGGTCCTTTGCAATTACTATCCACAAATGGATAAAGCTTATTGTGGCCAAGAGGGAGCTCTCTGAACTCTGATAAATTGCCTCACATGATGTCCCCTTGAGTAGCTGAAAACTACAAGTTTGAATATGAAAAATAAGGAAGTGTTGAGTAAAGAACCAGCCAAATCTCCGAAACTACTGTCGGTGGTCGGGTTACATTGTGGGTTATTTAGGTAATGTGTTTCGAAAATGAAAAAGGATGTGTGGAATGAAAAAAGATGATTTCTCAGGTTCTGCCACATCAATTGTGTTATTATAAAGTTAAAGGTCATTATCAGTAGGAATATGAAGAGTGAAATAATTGTAATATATTATTTAAATTATTTTGTTATTTTTACTTGCGCAATAATCAGAACATTTAACAGAAATAACAATAACTTTAATATATCAGTGTTATTAAATCCTTCTTCTTCTTTTTTTAAAGGTTGGTTTATTTGTATTCTTGTATTTGTATGCATGTTGTGTCTTTTTCTCTTTTGTTGCTGTTATTTAGTATTTTATGTATTGTACTCTTAAGCACATTTTAAGATGAATGCATTTTAGTGTAAGCAACACTAAACAAAGTATAATTGCAATAAAACATGCTTCAATACATGACATTTCTTTTGATCGGTTAGTTTGATCTGTAGAGCTGAATGGACACACTCTCTCTCTCTCTCTCTCTCTCCCTCGTACACGTGTCTTTCTAGAGAAATCTGACTAGATGACCTCCTGTTCTAAGCTCCTTAACCAATATGCGCTCTGGGAACAGGGCCATGCTGGCTCATCATCAGACTTTACTGCTGCATGCTGCAAAAGAAGAGCTGGAGAGCACACACACAAACTCACAATAATCCATCCAGACTATAAGCATATCATCATAATTGATCCCCTGCAAACACTGAAGATCAAAAATCACATGCGTGTGCAATAACATTTTATACATAGCAAAACGCACACTGAAACAATTTAGTAGGGGCAGATTTATGAGTCCATGACCTCCGCAGCATATTTATCAACATAAAGTAACAATGCTAACGTTTATCATGTTCACCACTTTAGTTTAGTCTGTTTCCAACATGCTATCACTTGCTAATTAGCGCTAAACACAAAGTACAGATGCCGCTGATGGTAATGTTTTGTCTGCAGTTTTTGCAGGAATGTGGTCATTAAAGTGACATTTTATCATCAAAGGGCTACAGGGATAAATGAGAGGATCACCAATCAGCGGGATACATCCTCTGAGTTTAACAGTTTGATTAAAGATATTTAGGACAAGAGCAATGGACGCAGAGAGGTCGCAGTTACTGTGGACATGACACACAGGATGTACTGACTTGGAAGTTTTATAAACAATGAAATACCCTTCTACAGAAAATGTGTATTTTTCTCAGGAAAGTGTGTATGTGTGTGTGTGTGTGTGTGTGTGTGTGTGTGTGTGTGTGTGTGTGTGTGTGTGTGTGTGTGTGTGTGTGTGTGTGTGTGTGTGTGTGTGTGTGCAGTCTCACCGTGTGGCTAGTTTATGGTTGATGGCTCCAGTGTCAGTGATGACTTCACTCAGACGCAGCTCCAAGTGTACTTTTCCCTGCAACACACAAACACACAAACAGTCACTTTAAATGTTCAATGTTCTGCAGAGGTCTTATGAACACTTCAGCACGGCCCAGAGACAGGTGACAAACCTATGCATTCATCAATGTGTTTGTGTAAATGTGAAATGGAGTTGGATACAAGACATATTTCTGCAGACAACATATGCAACCTTAACCAATGTAAGTTAAACTGGTTTGGTGACAATCCATATCATACAATGAATAATGAAACAGGTTCAATCATGTATCTCAACCAATAAAAACATGTTAAACTATCTCTGAAAACACATTATTGGAAATCCCTTGTTTTCATTGGACAGAGTAGAGTCCAGGTGCTCTGCTCTAGGATCTAAGTGCCAAACATAGAAATTCCAAATGTATCGCAATATACATATTTAATTATATACTCTATCTTTATTCTAAATGGTTAAAACTGTTTTAGAGAAGAACTGATCCAAGGAAAGCCCAAAATACATTCTACAATAATTATTCCTCGATAAATCCCAGTACAAAACAAAAACATACACAATCATGAACAAAGAGGCATTCCTCCGCCAACAGAGACACTGTATGTAAATAACTGCGAGGCTGAGCGTCATGCTTAAGTTATTTTCCCTCTGAAGTGATTGGATTAATGACATAATGACAGTGTAGTGGTGCAGCTGTCTAGAAAAGCTCCTTTAATTAACAGCATCAGTATGCAAACTCACAGGCGTTGCTCTTTCTGGCCGATTCAAGCAGAAGGAACAAACACACGCACTTACACATGTGCGCACAGGCCAAACAATGTGTCCTCTATTGAAAAGAGAAAAGAGACACTCTATCTTCCTACTTCATTTGATCCATCTCCCTCGCTTTCTCTCTTTTCTCTCAATCTCTCACACATCCTTCCTCTCCCCGGCTCCTCGGATGAATGTGTCTCTGTTTCAGATCCCTGCTCCAGGGCTGCTCACACCCATCTGTCTGCAGATGTTACTGTTCACTGTGTTTCAGACTGTGTGTGTGTGTGTGTGTGTGTGTGTGTGTGTGTGTGTGTGTGTGTGTGTGTGTGTGTGTGTGTGTGTGTGTGTGTGGTACTATGTGCTAGGTGTGTGTGTGCCAGAGTTCCCGTTAGAATATTTTTTTGCCGGTCAACATGTCCGTTAAAGTTGAAATCTTCCGGACAAAATTAGATAAGTGCCGGTTAAAGGTCTTCTTTGTTATTTATTGAGCTTTAAAACAAATTGATATGATTCGACATTAAACAAACTAATTATAGTAGATTAACTACATTATTCAAAAGTGTACAGTAATTTACAAAAACGCGGGAATAATAAACGGAGCGCTCTCTCCTTCTCCTGACAGCCCGTCAGTATCATGCAGCTCGCGGATCCAGTAATGAGTGACCCGACAGTAAAACTAAACATATCTATAACTAGTTTAGGTAGTTTGAGAGGTAATTAAAATAGCTACGTGTGATTTTCTAACCTGAAGTGTGTTTTGCTCTGCTCGCCGCTGCAGGGGATCATGCAGAGCTGCGTGTCGACTCGTCAGCAGCAGCCGATCTCTCTCTCCTGTCAGATTAGACTTTACTCGCATTTATGTCCATATCGATCAGATCTAGCTAGTTCTAGCTAATGATATGACTACCTGCTTGTTAAAAGACACCTAAACAATAAGCGTCGCTATGCAACCGGATGAGGCCACAAAGTATAGCGCAGCATTATGCATTTGTTTACATGCCCACCGGAACCCCGAGGCATTACCAACAGATCAACGCACAATCAACCCATACAGGACATCTCTTTCTCCACATTAAGTGTTAGACATTAGAATTGACAATTTTTGTCTGTCACATACTCTTTTGTCTGTCACATACTATTCTTGTCTGTCACATAAGTGGCGCAACTGATGCGGTATTGCGCTAAGGGAAAATTATTTTGACCGGACATTTTGACCGGAGAGATTTAGATTTGCCGGACTTCAGCATATTTTACCGGTCATTGTCCGGTAATTACCGGCTAACGGGAACTCTGGTGTGTGCATGCATTAATGTGTGTATCCATGCATGTGTGTTAGACTGCTGAACACAGAATAGAAGAAGATCTTGCACATTTGCATGTAAGACAAGTGAGGCAAAATGCAACAGCTCCAGACTGGATCACTAGAAGATTGAACGATTCACAGATAACTCAATGGTAGTAGAAAAATGACAGATTTGGTCACATTAATGCATTTACAGTATGTACACAATAATATATGTACTTCCTAGCTTGTTTACAACTTGGTGATAACAACAAATGAGATGTGTTAACTGCTTGGCAGGAAAAACAAATGTCAACCACAAAAGGCTACTAAATTAGCTTGAGCAGATTTTCTACAAAAAACATGTGTCTATTTGGTTGTGCATTGGATTAACATAAACAGAGCTGTGAGTGGAAAAAAGACAAAAATGAAAACATTGAGATAAAATGTAAACATTACAGTCAGGAAGACTGTCTCTCAAAATTGCCAAAAAAACGGTCTCCTTTTAACTCCATTAAACCAGAACCAGTGATGTCATTATTCCACTACAGAAAATCTAAAAAACAACCTGTGACCCAAACACACACTGTTGGCTTTTATTTCACATCTTCACTAATGACAATTGAGAATGTGGAAAAAATAGTGTTTCTGATTAAACCTGTGATCACAAACAGAGCTGGGATGGAGGTAGACGGATCTACAGTATACACTGAGAGCCAGATGACTTTGACCCTGCAGGCTCAGATGTTTTTGGTGCACACACGCTGTGTTTGTTTGGGTTCTGCCTTGCTTCAAACATTAAAATGCAGACACACTCATCACACATCAATGCACATACTGAATAGGACAATTGTCTATGGCTTGGTATCGTTTGAAACCAAAATAATAATGTTTTCATACTTTTGTTTAAGGGACAACATGTTTGTCTATGTAAACCTTTCCTTTAAATAAAATAAACCAACATTTTGTAATTTCAAAGCAAGTTCATGTTACTTTTGCTGAACAGAAACTATTGTGGCCACAAATTACAGTTAGGGTTAAAATGAAAATGTATAATGTGATTGTAGACTAAGTATAGCGAGGTCATAATGTCAGCTAATCAATTTAGTAAAGTTGCTATCTATTAAACAATATTAATCTAAAGCTTGCTAACATTAGCTAACATACAGCTCCAGAAGCTTCTGTTCATACAAGACCGAGTACTGCAGGATTGTTTAGGCAAGACCCCTTACTGTAATGAAATGAGCAAGGGTGTATTTAATGCGTAAAACTTTTTTTAGATAGAATGTGATGTGATGTGTGTTGATTGCTCTTTTAAGAGTGACATACTGCAATTTACCATATGAGAGTATTCAAATACAGGCCATGATAAACAAATAAAAGATTGCTAGTTAATTACATAACATTGGATGTAATAACCTGTAGCATGCTAGAACAGCTAGATGATAAATCATTGTAATGTACATTTTCACAGCACTTGTTCCACCATTGCAACAATATAAGTCAATCCATTCTCCTAATCGATGTTATGTTACCACCAATCAAAATCCACATTCTCTGATGGTTTTCGTTCTAGAGGACACACCAAGTTTCAATAATAGCAGATTAACACCATTCAAGGTAATGGGCAAAATGGGACTTGTGACTTTCTGCTTGTACTGATGGAATAAATCCAGTGAAACTTCAATACAAAAAAGTTCTCCCTCTAATAAAACCATGTCCCAAATAAAAGCTTTGCTCAATCCGCCAAAGGAATCTATTCAGAATTTACACCAAAACCTTCAAAGAAATCAAGACTAAGTGAAAAAGATTTCTATGCCAGCTTTGAGTATCAAAAGGACACCAAAGAGAAACCAGACCAATAAGTGTCAAGTGGTTTCAGTGAAGAAACTGAGAAACAAAAGAACAAGAGGATCTGCAAGATGAGAATAATAGAAGATCAGGGGATAGTGCTTTGTTATTAAAATGCTGGTGTGTGCATGTGTGTGTGTGTTTTCCCTCTGTGCTGACCTGCACTTCTGAGTCAGCGCTGACAGGTTGGAGCTGGAACCAGGTGTCTTTGCCATGATATTTCTGCAGGTCCTCTTTCTTCACTGCTACCTTGCCTACACACACACACATTGACAAACAGGCAAAAACAGATGAGTTCAAAAAACAAGTCATTTTTCGAAAAAAAGAAAAACCACCTACGTGCTCAGATGCAAGCTTCAACAAACACTCAAACACCCACACACCCGCTCACACGCTGTCAATCCACACTCCAGTCTCTCTTTAATACGTGTGGGCACCTGGTGCTCACACTGATAACTGTCAGTGGCCTGGAAATGACAACTCTACCCTGAAACTAACACGGTACTTTCTGTTTACAACACTCACGAACACACCCACAAGTACACACACACACATTAACAGGGGCTGTTGATGATACAAATCCCACCCTGAGACAGATTTTTCAGTTAGTGGTTTGTGGTCACATACACAAATCGGCACACTGACACACCCAATGACACTGATAGTCATCCTCTCTCACACACACCGACACAGTGGTGCTTTAGGGGATCTAAAAGAAATAATTAAACAATGTGTGAAAGATGACTATTTGTTTAATTAGAAGATCGATACCAATCTCATATCTGTCTGTTTAATATGAGGCATCTGCCAGAACAGGTTAGCTTAGCTTAGCATAGCATAAAGACTGGAAACAACTAGCTATGTCTGTGGGTAACAACATTAGTATGTAACCTCTCACAACTCTAAGTAAAACATATTTTGTGTAATTGTGCTTATGGTTGTTGTGATTGGCCAAGTGATATAAAGCTAATCTGTATTTGACAAATACACACGGCTCATTTGAAAATTAGATGTTAAATCTTCAGACCTTGGGATCTACATTTTTGATAATGTGAAACAGGCAACTACTCAAATGTATTAACGATATATAAATGACTCTTCTGATTTTCCTGGATAAAAGTTGAAGTGTTTAATCTATTAATTGGAAATTGAAAGCGGAGGTTACTTACAGTCATACATAACATAGAAACACAGCTAATCCTCAAAACGTTGTTCTTGAGAAAAGGATTCAATATTTATTAAACTTATTGTTACCTTATTTCTGTTTATTGTATACTGTCATTTATAACACAACAGTGTAACTAGTGCTGTTTACTTACCGATACTGGAGTCCCTCCTGAAGACATCCCTGTCGAAGATGTAGAAGGAGAGGTGTCTGAAGCTGCGCGGGATCTCACAGTAAAAGTCCTCGCCGTAGAATGGGCTGCAGGTCAAAGCAAAGACGAGGCAAACTGTGATTAGAGACTCCTCTGGTTTGTTTGAGCATGTTTTAGCACACACACACATGTAGTATTAAATATTTAGTTATCCAGAGATGGGAAGAAGGAAACGTGTGCGGGAAAAAAGAGGGAGTTATGTCTGGAAAATCTCTTGAAAACATAGGTTGGCGGAGTGTGTCAATAAGGACAAGAATATAGGATACATTTCTGTGAAACAAGGAGATGCCTTTGTCCAACCAGCTAGTTAAGGTATAATAATCTGTGTGACTGACCTCTTTATCTCAAGCGTTTACTCATTCAATCAACAATTCATGAATTGGTTCATATTTAAACACTTCCTTTCCTTCCCAGAATGATTTTCTGTGTGTTCTTACTATGGGTATCCTGGTCAGAAAAATTGCCTTCATGCAAACATCACAGATATACTTCTTTTGTCATTCTTGCCCAAAGATGATTGATTTTGTCCATGGGGTCGTCAACAAATAAAGATCCCATGCATTTACATCTTGCCATGAGTCATGTGGTCTACAACAATACTCCCGTTTGTGAAGACTGGCTGGAAGGTACATCCTCCACCAGGCTCTGCCTCACCTAAACCTCAGCCATAGAGACATTACAGCAATGTGAGTCTCGTGAGCGGAGCCCTCAGGGCCGCTGCTAACAATTACTGACTTCTTCTGTAACTCAGCAGACAAAAAGACACACAGAGAGGGGGGGGTGGCGGATGGATGTATAGGCAGGCATGACTGCATTTATAAACAAACCTATTAAGTTGAATTCAGGCTACCATGTGTGTCGAAAGAATTGTACTTGTTTCCTCATCAGCCGGATGAAAAATGTGAAAGCTTGGGGCTGTGTAATCAAAGTGGAAGGAAGGGGACCGTAATCTATTCAGCCACCCATGATCTGTAAGTTAAACTACGGTACATTACGCAGTATCTGCAAAGCATCTGGGTGAATTAGGTTATATGTTTTGAAAGCTTTGTAAATAAATTCCTTTTGTGATACATTTACACTAGCTTTTCTCTTACGTTAATATATAATCTATTTCCCCTACTTATAAGTTCAGCTGTGTATATAACAACACACCATGACACAGAGTAAGAAAAATGATTGATATAAAATGCATTTATTTGAGGGACACAAATAGTAAAGTTATCTTTAAATACTTATATTATAATAGTTGTGATAACATTTAAAGTCAATGTTTTCTTCAAATTCATGAAGGCAGGGATTTACTATTTGGGGAGACATGTGTTTACGTTTGTATAGTGTCTCAACCTTGAGTTTTGAACGAGGAGGAAGTGGATATAATTTGACATTCATGTTTGCACGTTTCTGTATACAGATGGAAAGAATGGCACACAAATAAGGGTGGAGGGCCCCTCAACGTACCAAAGGGACTTCTCTATGATCTTGGTCCTGAACACCTCTTCTTGGTCCAGGTTGACGGTGCAGTAGCAGTCTCTCATCCTGTTTGGTCCAGGGTACGGAGGGATGTTTTTTGCTTCTCCTGCACAAAGCAAGGGGAGGAGAGAGAGAACAGTTTACTTAGGAACGCTGTTGTAAGCAGTAACAATGTGTTTATTCAGGCACACTGCTGTAAGTGATTACTTATTTAAGAACCCTGAAAGCACGCCACGTTTAAAGAGACATAGCGTTATGTAAGTTCACACCTGTTTGAGCTTTGAGTAATCTGACTGCACGCATAACGAGCTTAACTCTGCAAAGGTGACTATACCTAAATACCGGAAACACACACAGTAAGCCATGCTCTCAGAAACAGACGAACCATTCAAAAACAACATATGTGCGCTTAAATGTTTGTGTGTCAGTCTGTATATGTTATCAGATCTGTGATTAATAGAATCTGTGTGGGACATTTCCTGAATCCTGCCGGAGAATATCTGCTCATCAGACATCGGTGACAGATAGCACTCCCTTTTAAAAGAATGTGGTCACACCACCCACCAAGACCCGAGTCTCTCTCACACACACACACACACACAAACCACAAAGTTGGTGCTCCAGTCCCTCAGGAGCAATACCATCTCCTTTATAAAGCCATGTGGCTCCCTGTTACTAAGTCATCTGTTCACAGGTTGTGTTTCTCTCCCCCTAAGGACCCACAGGACTCTGCGGTCTATAGTTACACGTGTATTAGTGCAACTTTGTCATTGTTAGCTCCATTATCTGTACGTGAATCTGATGCTGCCATTCAGCCTACATCTCACTGTTATTTCTGGCCTTAAAGGAGCAACTTCTTCACAATGTCAGCATGAGTCTGCGCGGCAGAGTGCTGCTGTTTGCAAGCTGAAACGTTCTCTTTTAAATGTGATCCTAAAGTGGATGCCAACATTTTTGGATTTGACCCAATACAAAATAAACAAGGTCTATTTGTGTTTTTTCCTTCTTAAATAGTTGTATTATAAGAATGTTTAAAGGCCTTAAAAGGTGAGGTTTAAGAGAAATGTCATTTGTTGACTCCTTGTATTTATGTTGGAATATAACCGTCACTTTGGTAACAAGCGCTTTAGAATAGAACAGTAAGAAATAAAGTGAAAATCTAAAACTTATATTGCACAAAAAAAACTGCCAATAAGGATTTCTAGAGTTTTTTCAAAGAAAAGGGTTTATGTTGTTACACAAGGTAACTAGTTATTCAACTATACTATACAACTATATATAGTATAGTAGTAGTAGTAAAGCTTCTACACAAGATGTAGTGACTTTGAGCATGGCATGGTGTTTGAGTAGGGGAGATAGGTGACAATTGTATCATAAGACTGCTTGCTGAATGTGCACTATCGAGTCCAACAATTAGTCAAACTTATGTTTTCTGTCACTTCAAAATTGTATATATTATAAATGTAATGTAAGGACATACTGAACATTGCATCCATTCAGCTCTACAAACTAAGGTTTAGGATTTCACGAGAACTCAATCTTATCAAACAATCCATTTAATACTTGAGAATAAGAGTTGGTGTTGAAATAATGCAGAGCAGGAAGAAGAAAAAGGATGTGAGCAATCACACTAGTCATGAAGTACACACTAACATGCAATGACACGTTGTATTTTTGGATATCACCTGTGGTTAATTTCATAGGATTTGTCTAAACAATGTCAGGAGTATCTATTTAGCTCAATGTGTTGTTTACTTCTTTGTCAAATACATAAGTTAGATTGGCAATAAGAGTGACAAATGGCCGGGGACAAAAGTAGTTGGTTCATCTCTACCTTTGGTCCATAACTCTACACAGAGGATAAATAAAACCTGCAGAGATAAACAGAGGTGATTTAGTGTCTCTCTGTGGGGTTAGTAACACAACACAGTGTTATGGCTGCATCTCTGGAGGCTGATTCATACAGAACGGGGATCATTACACAACTATTTTACAATAACAACATTCATTCATAAATCAGAAAGACACCTGAGCTGTAAGACACAACACGTGCTCCACTGCTTTGATATGTTGTTTCAGAATCTGACCTACGCTGTCTGTGTTTACGTGTGAGAGATGACGCATTGCTCTCTTATCTCCTTCTTTATCCCTTCACCTCGTATTGTTATTACATCTCCCTCCTGTCTCCTCCTATCCTCCAATACTCCTCTTGTTAATTTTATCTTCCTCCTGTAATCCTCTTCTTTCACCTCTCCTGCTCCAGACTGTTCTCCAATCTCTGTTTTCCTCCAGCTCTCACTCATGACCTGAGGTCTCTCTGATAGTTTGCAGCATCCAAGCACTCTTAGTAATCAAAACATCATGGGATTACCATAGCTTTCTCAGCAGTGTGTGTGTTTGTTTTTGTGTGTGTTTAAAGACTCAACTCACAGAGTCAACTTAAATCTCTGTGCCAAAATTGCAGCAACTGGAAAGCCAAAAACACACAATTTATATATTTTAAGCATCATCTTACGTACTATTCCAAATCTAATGACAGTTCAAGCAGTTTGGCATATCTTATGCATCTTTTTTGCAACTGTATAATTTGTATATTACTGCTGCTGACCTTTTTCCAACCTTTCTTAGATTGATGTGTGGATTTCTTTGTGTTTTTCCAGCAGCCAGAGGTTTCTACTCAAGCCTATATGACATAAAATCAACTTGCAGAGACTTGAAACTTGCCTGAGATAAGTAATCCATCACAATGAACATCTAGATGTTGTCAATTTGCTCACTGTTTAATTGATGTATGGTAATGCAGGTGAAATGTTTGCTGCGTAGGTGGATCCAAGTGCAACCTCCTAGGGTTACATTAATACAGACCAGATATTGTCAGTTGGCATCAGTGTATAAAACTGACGGATAAAGTCAGTAATTAAAAAACTGATATCAAACAGCCATCTAACTCCCAGCAAGACAGCCAACAAACAAACAATTTCAAACCGCAATCCCTTTCACAACTGTTTTTCCAACTTTGATATCATGCAATTAATAGATCATTTTGACTAGCACTGCAATCTGTAGTTATATGGCTAATAAGATGCAACACCACTAGTCAATACCACAGATACAGAGATATCGTAACACTTCCTGTTTAGGTGGTAAAGGACACCTGGAAGAGTTGATGAGCAGCAAAGTTTGTCATTTTGGGGGAAGTTTACTACAACAGTCATGGTTGAGTAAACGCGTTTTGCATGTTAGGATGTTCGATGGAGAGTGAGAGTGAGTCTATTACAAAAGAAAGGATAAGCCTCTCCAGTAACCTGCCATTCAACACATTAGATTAAAGACTTTATTATGAAACCAGAGCGTGTAATCCTCTGTGTCAGCATGTCTATCTTTCTCTAATACTTTCTTTCATAGTGGTCCATGTTCTGCCGTTTTCTTCTTTCCATTTTCGCATAAAACCCACCCCCCTTTTCTTTTAGATTTTTCATCTAGTGTTGAATTGCCCTTTTCGTTTCGTTTTCCAAATTAGCTTTAACCTGATTTCACTTTCCTCTATTTATGGTTGCTTCCCCTTTTTTTCATCTCTCCCTCTCTAACTCTCTCTGTTTTCTCCAGAGGGTGTGTTTATCTCCCCTCAAGATTCAAAATAAGCAGAAAAATAAACAACAACAACAATAACAGCAGTTTTCTCTTTTCATCAAGCATCACTGCAGCTACCCTTGGAGAATATCTTGCCCTAGTATCTGAGCAAAAACAAACAGTGCAAAAACTCTACTGCCGTGTGTGTGTGTGTGTGTGTGTGTGTGTGTGTGTGTGTGTGTGTGTGTGTGTGTGTGTGTGTGTGTGTGTGTGTGTGTGTGTGTGTGTGTCTGCTGGGGTGGTGCGCATGCAAAACATGGGGGCGTTGAGCAGAGCTGCAGAGAATCACAGAACAAACCAAAGGGGGCAACATTGAAGGGGATAGCATCAAAAATGTTGACTCCACACTTCATTCCTGCAGAGGAAAGAGAAGTGAGGGAACCAGAGTGATTGAAGCACACAATGGACGCAGTGAATGTGAAGCTTTGTTTCTCTTCCTCCTCTGTTGACTAGTTTCCAATTCGCCAACCTTGTGTGTACAGTTTCAGAAGCACCACTCCACTAGTTATTCTAATCTTTTCTGACATGAACACATTCAAGGATACACAGGCGTGAATGCGTTCCGTGGCTAAGAGCTTGACTAGCAGGCCTGGGAAACACAGGCTTTAGGGAAGGAAGGAGGGAGGGGGGTGGTTAGTGAGAAAAATACAAGCAGTGTACTCAATAAAGGGTGAGAGGGGAGGAAGACTGCAGAGTGAGAGAGGGCGGGAGAGAGAGAGAGAGAGAGAGAGAGAGAGAGAAGTCAGTCAGATAGAAAACTTGAGAGTGGTTGGCTTCGGAGAAAGCTACAACAGGAAATGAGATGAGGAGAAAGGAATTTCAACTGGATACAAGATGTAGTTTAAAAGCAGTGAACAACCCAGTTACCCCTGTGTCTGTCTGTCTCTGTGTGTATGTGTATGTGTATGTGTATGTGTATGTGTATGTGTATGTGTGTGTGTGTGTGTGTGTGTGTGTGTGTGTGTGTGTGACTGTGAGAATGGAAAGAAAACCTGATACTTGTAAGAGGACAATTTATTATGCCAGTTATTACTCAGTTCCTTTGATGGTCCTAAGTAGAGTCTTTCAGAAAGACATTACTGTCTTTCTGAAAGTGACGTAACATAAGAACACTACACACACACACACCCATCAGATATTCACCGCAGTGAATTAGATCCCACAGCGAGATATTCCTTGTCACTCAATCAAATAAGGGCTGCAACTTGCATTTAATTTCGTATTCAGCTCATTTCTTACGCAATTATTCTTCAAAATATCACAAAATGACAGCAACATTCAACAACAATATGCAGATCCCAAAGTACATTTAAAGGGTTTCTCCTGTGATTTAGTATTGCACTTTTAAAAAGTTAGGGCACTTGGGAGAAACCGATTCAAACAATAATCGTTAAAACAACAAGTGGCCCAAGCTCCAAAAACCCTGAATCCTACACTTCCCATGATGCTTTAAATTATGTTTAATTTTGGCATAAT